TATATATATATATATATATATATATATATATATATAAACACGCCAAGATCAACCAGTTTCGGTTATAACCTACACATCTATTTTTACCACTCTATCTTAAAAACATGAACAGAGTATAATTATAATTGATTAATTGTTGTAAGATTCCTATATAATAAAAGAATAAAATGATTAGAAAGACAGCAGAGATTAAAGAAATATCTAAGACAATCCACGACATATGCGTTGAATTCCTAATTTTAATACTGAATACTATTTTAAATTGCATGAAGAATAAACAGAGTGATCATATAAAAACGTTTAAATTGCATGAAAACAGAGTGATCATACAAAAACTTAATAGAATATTGCAATTCACTGTTTACAAAGACAATAACTGGAGAAGATACTCCATTCAGAAGGACAGTAAGAGGGAAGAGAAGGGATATTACAATCACACATTTAAAATTACAGAGTAATAGAGGTTACCAACTGTATGTCGCTTATACAAGACTGTTATGAAAGCAAACCTACTGTATGAGATTTTACAGTAGTAAAGACAGAAAAAAGAGAAAGAGATGAGAAAGAGATAGCTCAGGGATGTGATGAAGTAGGTTTTCTCGTATGGCGTCCTTGAAACTCGACCTGTTTCTTTGTTTGAAGGAGGTGGTATTTATAGATGCAGGGATGTGTCGATGTGCAACAGGTGGACGACTGGGATGCGTCTGTGATTCATCCTTATCTTTAGGTGAGTTGGCTGAAGGTGATGGCCGAAGGAGGAGTGAGGACGCGTCAGTGATGTGATGTAAAGATGTATGGATAAGGGCTGTTGTCGTGACCCAAAAATGTCGGGGACTTGTCGGGAACGAGGTTGTTTCTCATTGGTCGATGAAGGATCGATGAAGGCATTGATGTGACAAATATTTAGTCAAATCAAAACTGAATCGTTGACACTGTAGTTGGGGTCTTTTCTTGCTACGTGGCGATCGCTGGAGTAAGGAGTTACTATGCAAGGGAATATTTACTGTAGTTGGGGTCTTGTCGTTTTAAAAAGGAATCTGCTTTTAGTCATATCAAAAGTAAAGATAAAACATAAGTCTTGTCTTCTGATGAGTCGAGTCTTTTGATGAGCCGGGTCTTTAGTTCAGCCTTCGGGTTTTTGGCTAAAATCTTCGAGGAGAAGATTACCAGACTGAACTGTTTCTTCTGATGTGGTAGGTATTGTTGAAGGATCAGCAAATATTGCAAAAAGTTGTTTTTCGATATCTTCGAGTGTAGCATGAGGATGAGCTTGTTTCATTATTTGAATATATGAAGAGAATGTATTTAGGGTGACAGTATTATTAGCAGGAGTATTATCACAGAACTCTGAGGAAGGAGGAATCCTCTTGAGTGGAAGAGATTGTGGGTTAGTACTAAATATATCCCACCATTTAATTTTTATAGTTTTCCCGAGGCGGGGAATGTATTCAAAATTATTTGAAGTATTTTCATTAATAGTATATTCCCATTTGACAATTCATGGGATCTGGTATATGGCCATAAAATACAAATGATAATTGATTTGATCAGAACAAGTATTATGCTCACAGAATTTAGTTTGGAAGGCTTGAAAGGAATCAGGTAGGATTTGGATAGAAGATCCCTAAATAAAGAACCAATGACGGAACGAACTGGGGAACCTTTCAAGTATGGGCATTTTGAATTGAATATACCATGAGTGGGAATTATTTAGATTTTGGTAAAAGAAGACTTTATGCCAAGCTTCAAGATATTCTGCATATCGATAATATTTATATTGATATTCTGTATTTGATAATTTTTTTCCTTGTGTGGGGTTATTACCCTAATCTTCATAGGTCAAGAACTTTTTGATTTGTAATTTGGAGTAGGCATATAAATTGGTATTGCCTTGAAAAAAGTGGACAATGGACACTGAACCTGTTTCCATTAAAACAGACTCATACCATTCTCTAGTTTTGATGCCATTAAGAGGACTTAAATGGTTTTGCAAATACAGGGGGGCTAATTTATTTGGGTTGATATG